CCGCCGAAAGTGGACTTTCAGCGGCGACTTTTTTTGTCGCCGCCGAAAGTCGTCGCCTAAAGTCTATTTTTTTGTAGTGATATTTATATCATATAGTATCCTAAGATTCTAGTTTGAACTAGTCTTGATATCAGGTGCCGTTATGTATAGGGGCTTTATTGTGTTGGGCCAAGAGAGATGGGTCTGATTGAATTAATGCTCTTATCATATATTTATGTTGGTCTTCCAGATGAATAAATGTTACTCTTCCGGTTCTTAATATATGATCTATTTTGTAATATAATTTATACTATAAAATGAGTTTTATATTTAGAACCGGAAAAGTATTATTGAATCTTCTTGGATTGCGTGGGAGTGAAAGGGGATATAGACACAAGCATGACTAAATTTGGTTTCTCTTCACTAACCTTTTGCTAGAAATACAAACATAAATAGTAATGTGTATTGGATTAGATTCATGTTCAAATGTGGGTCATTCCTTTGAAGCTCCATGAATCGATTTATTAGTGCTCACGCAGAGTTTAGATTATTAAAACTTAAATTTCAATAGCACAACAAAGCACCACGCAAAAGAGAATATAAGAGAGAGAGAAGGGATAGTTGGAAAACTTAACGACCGAGTGATAAATCATATTTTTATATGCTTGGGATGTATATTTTAGGCTATTTTAAGAATTGGATTGAACTTTAATTCCATTAGTAAACAAATAAAGTGTTGATGCACCTGAATAAAAGAATTAAGCAGTTGTAATATTTTAATAATTCCTCTTATTAAATTTTACTATTAGATATTACTTCTGTCTTAATATTTTGAATTCAGGGGGGTAGAATTGTAATTTCAGAGTGACAGAAACATTTTTTCCAGAAGAAAAGAAAAGGAAGTTCGAAGGAAATGAGATTCCATCACTAATGGAAACTGATTTCCATCACTAAAGGAGAAGGAATTCCGCCAAAGAAGCTGAAATATTCAGATGCGGGAATTACCGGAGGAGGCGGGAAAATGAAAATGAATTGAAAACAGTCACTCCATGCCAGCTAAGACGGAACTGAATAACAGAAAAAGAGTTTTTACTGGGCAGACGTTGGATATATATTCTTCAAACAGAAAATAAGAGCGTGTGCTTTTTCTGGAAGTCCGCAAGTGAAAATTGAGCTCCTATTCTTCCAACTGATCGGTATCCTCTTGAGTGGAAATCGCCGAACTTGAAAGCTTCCATGGAGAGACTGCATTCGAACATTGAAGAGGAGGCAATCACCATCATGCGTAGCTAAATCCACAAATTCTTCCAAGAGCGGAACCGAATCCGAGCTACTGGATTGAAAAGGGAGTTTGTTTTCATCTATCTTTTTCAATTGCTCTGCTAGTTGTGGAGTATTTAGGAGAGAATTCGGTTGTATTCTGTTTTAGACTTTTAGATGAATGCTGTGTAATTGAACGCTGTAAAGACTTGGTAATTCATTCTTGAATTAGAAGTTAATTAGATCCTTATTACAGTTCAGTGAAATTAAATATTGTGGTCTGATTAATTGATTCATTTGAATAGAAGTCCTATTTGATTAAGAGTGTTGAGTCCCTTGCTCGTTCAGTAACATTTAGCTCCAGATCAGATTAAGGCAATGAAGATGAAGGGAAACTCTTGGGAGAATTGATACTCTGATTGTTTTTTTTCTTGAGTTCCATAATACCGTTTGCGTTTTCATTCATTCTCATTTTAACACTGCACTTGAAAGTCAACAAAGATCTTTTTGTATTGATCTGAATGTGTTTCTTCTGCTATATGTTCTACAAGTAAATTGTGTTAATTTTACTTAGAAATTCAGAGAGTTATTAGACTAAGTGATTCGACACTTAGGTTGCATCAGTATACTGCATACCCTTTCTTTATTATTTTTGATTGCCTATACGACTAAGGATAAATCACCGAGGTGAGTTGAACTGATGGATGAGGGCTTCTATTTAATGATATAAATTGATTTATACTTTTAAAAACTGTTAAATTTGAATAACCAAATGCAATCTAATAATATACTCTTCTGATTTTATTTATGAATTACTTCTAACATGTTTCATACAGACCAATAAAAATCTTAAATTTTATTGACTCTCATTTAAAATTTAACAACTTTAAACTATATCTCCATTTAATATATAATATGCTCCCTGAGAACAAAGTGAAGACACAAATAAATGAAGGATAAAACTATCCATTCATATTAAAATTTCTCACCGTCCAGAGGAGTACAATATAGAGTAAGCTCTCCACTCCCTGGAGGGAAATCATTATGCTCGATCCCTATCTCTTTCGATTCAGTCTCACGCATTCGCTCTCGTATCTTTTTCAAAGTGAAAATTACGAATTTATATATCTTTTCTTTTTTAAGGCCTTGTTTGGTAAGATAGAAGCATATCTTCTACGGAATGAGAACATGAAAGGTAATGGAAATAACTTTTAAAAACATGCATGTCTTGCGTGTCACAGTAGAATTCTCAAATTATTTTGGTTCAGTACATATATGTACTTCAATTTAAAAGATTATTTTACAATGAGACAGGATATTATAGTTTTTCTTTCCAAAAACACACAGATTCATTAGAGCAATTCCAGCGCAATACCTCCCGTTCTTTAGAGATTCAATTTTGTTATAAATATAAGATCTCGATTTACTTTCTTTCTAATATTTATCTATTTTGTCAATTTACTCCCTTCAATCCTATGTATAAGTTTCAAATAATCAAATCACTTTTAACCAACTAGCAGTTAAAATTAGTTAAAAATAATAAACAGGTCACAAATGTATTTGTTTTTTTTCAACTTTTTCTTATTTATTAAGAGAGTAAATGAGAGAGGTAATAAATGAAAAAATAATGAAAGAGAATATATTGGGATAATATTAAATATAGTCAACTAAGAGCAAAATAGGAAAAAATAATAAATGTTTAGATAAACCCAAAAAGTGAAGCTTATATATAGGACCAGAAGGAGGGTATAATTAATAAGGGTATTTCAGGAAATAAAATATCTATTTATTATAAATAACTAACTTAACTAATTTTTTTAATATTCAAAAATTAGTTATATAGTTCTTATAGTAAGGAGTAGAAGTAGTATAACAACAATATCACTGCCTTACATTTACTTCTGTCTGAGATTACCTCTCCGCCACTACAGCTTTAATTCAAAAATTAATCAATGATCCCATAGTAGCATGAATTATGGAGCATTTATTTCTTGTCTGTCCTACTGCCAGACCTGTGTGGCTTGGGGTTGATGAATTTTGTGTTCCATCAAAGTATTAACGCAGTCAACAGGACTAGATCTAGCAAGAAAGTATTGGTTCTTTACAGTATACTCATTCTAAATATAAGATCTATTTTATAGTGTAAATTACACTATAAAATAGGTTTTACATTTAGGATCAAAAGAGTAGTAAATTAATATAATGGAAAAAAATACTTATATTTAGCGTTTGATGGAATTGCTTTCAATAGAGGTATATTTACACGACTGTGCCTGCAATTTAAAGAAGTGTTAATATAATTTTTTATTTCTCAAATTTACTTTTATTTTGGTTTTGGTCCCTCAAATTTCTTTTCATTTAAAATATTAATTCTTATAATTTAATAAAAACCTGAATCATTTTATCCATAAAGAGACCAAAACTTATTGTTTGAAATTTTAGAGACTAAAACCAAAATTTGTACAAACTTGAAAGACCAAAAAATTATACTAACCCATTAAAGAAAAATGCAGCAAAACCAAAATGCCAATCTAATATGAAATCTTGTCAGTACAAAAGGTCCTGCATAGAAAATTATTGGGAGAATTACAATCAGGTCTCAAGGATGAGATTTAATTACCATAAACTCTATCGGTAAGTGAAGAGTAAATAATGACAAATTCCAGAGTAAAAAATGATAATAAGTTTAGGCTGGTTACTCATCATTAGAACTTTTTAGTAATTAGTTTTTTTTAGGCTTTTTGGTAATTCTCCCAAAATTATTGGCATGGAACCATGGCCCGGAAGGCACAGTCCTCATAATCCCACAAGCTTTCTTTTGGGGGGACTTGCATTTAAGTCGCAAGAAAGAAATTTAATTATTCCAAAATCCACTGACAATTGAAGAGCATGCAATGACACGTTTCAGAATAGGAAATGACAACTACTTACTTGTTATTAAGACTTTTTGATAATTAAATTCTTTTCTTCAAACCTTATGATAATTCTCCCTTTCTTTTGTCTCTCTTTTTTTTTCCATTTTAACTGACTATAACAGGATTTAACTCTCTTCATATTTTGTCAACAACAATGAAAAAATAATCTAACAATTGGATTTTGTGCGTGTGAGAGGGAGAGAGGAAGATAAATGAATTCTTAGTTTGGATATTAATAAATACAATAGCCATTGTGTGTGTGTGTATTTTTCCATCGATACACACACACAACATCTCACAAATGCAAGTACATCCTAGAGAATTTTATGATTAATGCAGCATCTTGAAATTTTTTTAAGTGCATCCAGTATCATAAAATATTTCGTTAATCATCCAGTATGCTTTTTTTTGCAGCTATCACCATAATACTTTAATAGCAAAATTGCACGACAAAATACTTTAAGCTACCAGACACACATGAGAAAATATTTTAAACTTTAAATGCACCATAAAATATTTTAGAGCGTTATACGCACATGTGAAAATACTTGAAGATTTAGATGAATTACAAAATTCTTTAGAGTGCCAGAGGAACAGCTGTCCTTTTGCATGATTACAAAACAGAAAAATCATGTAAGGCATGCAATTAATTTCTGGAATTAAAATAAATTAAATAAGGTGATTTAACAGATACTACCACTATGGGTTGTGTCTAAAAGTAAATGAAGTTATCTTTCTCTCCCCACAACAGGAGTCCCATTCGATAGATTATCTTGAATTTGAGATCTCAGATCATCAGTGGATCATCGAAGAAGCTACGGCTCCTAGTGGCAAATTGGAGATTGAATTGAGATCAAGTCTCCTGCGACCGAGTTCTTCCAGTTCTTCACCAAGCAATTTCACAATCTTCCCAACACCACTAGTTGTGTCCATGCAGGAGAGCTTCATGAAGGAGATGACTGGCACGCCATTGGATCTTCTAAGCGCTGGACTTACACTCTTGATAAGATTCGATTTTACAATAAAGCTAAAGAAAATTATGGTGACAATTATAAATATTCCCTGAAATTACGTTTGAGATTCGAGAACACAATTAAAAAGTTGGGGTAGAATCGATTGAGAGAAAGAGTCTTGAAAAGTTTGAAAGATGGTTTAGGTTTCTGTGTTGTTAATGACCGCTCTAGTTAAGTTGATCGTCTTTGGTTGTAGTAATTATTTATGACGACTGATTAAATCATTGGAAACTGACTTGTATTCTGCTTAAAATCTAAGAGTAAATGGATGTTGTTAAGACTAATTCTTGGTTTTTGTAAATGGGAAACAACAGACGGGAAGGTGGTGACATGCAAGGAGAGATTTGAAGAGCTTGATGAAGAGAACAAATCAGTGAAAGTGGAGTTATTCGAAGAAGATGTTAAGAAAGAATACAAGAGTTTTAATTTCATATTAAAAGCCACAGAGAAAGAGGGAGGTGGGGGCATTGCAACGTGGAGCTTCTTTTATGAGAAGATCCCTGAAGGAATCCCAGATCCCAAAGGCTACTTGGACTTGGCAACCACCATGACAAATGATGTTGTTGCTCATCTTCTTCTCAGTGCTCAAAAGGGAAAGTGAACCAGAACGAACGCGTGAGATTAATGAGTGAACTAAATTATTAAAGAATAAGGTTGCCCGTGTGCTGTTGATCGAGTTCTTAATTATATGTATTATTGTGTCGTCTGATGTCAAAAGTGTGCGATGAACTATAAAGAATAAGGTCTGTGCTGGTGATTTCATGCACTGTGCAATCATGTGTCTCAAGTGCATTTGAATTCTTCTATATATGAACGATCGATGGATTTAAGGTTTATGGAAGTAATGCTCTTATCATGTATTTACTCTTTGGTTGTCGAAATATAGGGATATATGAATGGTATTGAATCTTCATATGCTAAATCTGTGTGGTTTAATGGATAGGACCAGTGTTTTACAACATAGCCAATCAAAATTCAAATTCTTACTCAGGTACAGTCTTTCAAAATCCCGCTGGCATTCTACCACTCTTCATCTCTTGATATAATGTACAAAATTACTGAAAATAGTAGTATTTGATATAAAATTTGATCTACGTTAGTTTTGTAATCTGCTCTGCTTTTAGATACTTTGGATAACAAAGTTTTCAGCGTAGACATTTCAATTAGATATTCCCAAATTGTTTATTAAGATAATAAAATTAAAGAATAAAAATACGAAGGACGAAATTTAAATTGAGTCAAAAATTTAGACACGCTAAGTTAAAATGTAAAGAATTAAAACATCACTTTTTTTAATAAAAAATGTTGGGGCAGCATGCCAAACATGTGGAGCTGTGAATCATGACCATGAGAAGGTCAAAGTAGGCAATCCTATCGTATCTAATCAATCCATATTAATTATTTCCAACATTATTATAGCCTTCAAATAAAAAATTAATAAAGTTAAACAATCATCCCTTGACGAGACACACGCATTTTTTCGTGTCTCTAAATATCATTGGATTTGTGCAGATATAACTTTTAATAATGTGTCGATGATGACTACAAAGGTTGTCAAATTTAAGCGTTGTTTAAGTTGATATATATTGCCTCTAGTTCTTAATATAAGAGCTAGTTAACTAATTAAGTAGATTAAAAAATTAGTTGAGTTAATAATAAATAGATATTATTTTTTCTTAAATTGCCTCTAGTTCTTAATATAAGAGCTAGTTAACTAATTAAGTAGATTAAAAAATTAGTTGAGTTAATAATAAATAGATATTATTTTTTCTTAAATATCCTTACTACTCAAGTAAATTAGTTAGAACTACTCTTTGATAAAATATTTAATATGTGCAACTACTACAAGAACTACCTTACAGGAGAAAATGAATAAGTATGAGAGAAAACAAATAAATTGAGGTGATATATTTAAAGTCAAATTGAAAGTTAAACTAACTCTTGTATTAAGGCACGAGGTAGTATGTTGTAAAGGAAGATAAGTGATAACAAATCTATTTGTACAGACTAAAATGATATTCTTCCTTAAGAAATATTGCATTGCGTTGTCGTTTATATTAGCAATATTTTTTGCCAGACTTTTAGGTACTGTGTCGTGTGAGGGAAACGGAGGTGAGGGGAGAGAAAGGAAAATTTTAATGAATTCTATTTAAAAAAATTGGATAAATGGGGTTTTGAAATTTTAATAAAGAGAAGAAGTAATATAAAAGAGTAATAAAAATTAATTGAAAGCTTTAAACACCACTTTTTCATTTTTTTAAAATCAAGCTTATTAAAATTTTCCCTCTCCTCTCCTCCCCTCCTTTTTCCTCATACCAATCCTCACACCAAACAGACCTTAACAATTTATACAAGCAATTTCTAGTGACGTATGCATTAAAAGAAAGGAAGAATTAGAATTAAGTTTAAAAAAAAAAACCAATAAGTCTCAATAACAACTTAAGCAGCCTATAATAACAAGTTTTAAAGGAGACAATGACAACCCTTAGGACTGGTTTTGTAATTATTTTTTTGAGGACCTCATTATAATCCTCCCTTAGAAAAACTCTTTAATTAACTCCTATACTTTGAATTGTAAATGCTGGTAAAAAAAGTAAAAAGGATCGTAAATAGTGCCGTTGTTGTTATTAAAAAAATCATATTTGTATATCGCATACACATGGTGATGAATAAAGATTATGTTTTTTTTCCGTCAAAACATTAAGATGAAGAAGTCCTTACATTCATCAACTGTGTGCCTCCTTAATTTGAGCTCTCTGCCTAAAAATCCTCTGTCCTTGGAGCAAAACTTTAATCCACAGGCAGTTACTGCTACTAATACTTTTCCGATACTATTTAATTCGACATTAATTGATACTTAAATAAGCATGACGTAAGACCTACGAAAATAATTATGGATTTGTTTGATTCTGTTTTTTTGTTTTTTCTTCATAAAACAATTTTATAAGATTGTTTTGTAAAACAAGTTTTGGAAAAAAAAATCTTTTTGGATAATTGTTCTGAAAAATGACATTTGATGGGAAGTCAAGTCCTCATCTAGAAAAAAGGCCATCAAGCGGAGAAAAAAGGGTTCCCCAATTTTACCAAATAAGAAATTTAAAAAAACTTAACCAAAAACAAATAGTCAAACAATTTCTTTTTCTTCTAAAAACGAAAAAACTGTGTTAAAAAAAAGAAAACAAACAAAGCCTGTATCTCTGTTTTAGTGAAAGTGATTCATTATATTATTTCCACTAAAGACAAATATCATTGATTTTGGGAGATTTTGATTTGAAAAATGTGCATCTGGGTCGCTATCGCCAGATAATATTGGAATCCCAGCAGGAATAATTAAGGAAGAAAATTACTTGAAGCAGTTGAGAATTCCAGTATCACCATATGGATTGTGTCTATATAATATCAGTGAAGCTAGCATTGCCTTCCCGCACCACCCAGTTGTTCCATTTGATATATTTTGTATATTTTGATTTCGAGATCAGTGCATAATACATCACTAAGAGATGGCTCTCACTGGTAATTTGGAGGTTGAAATCGAGATCCAATCACCTGCGATTGAGTTCTTCAACTTCTTCACCAAGCAACTTTACAATCTTCCCAACGCCACTGGTAGTGTCCATCTGGGTGAGATTCATGAAGGACCTGACTGGCACGCCATTGGCTCTGTCAAGCACTGGTCTTATACTGTTGGTAAGGTTCTATAAATTCCTTGATAACAATATAATTCTCACCATGCTTCACATATTCTTTAGAGTCTAATTGAAAAGGTGTGAATGATCATGATTAAGGTTTCTTCCTTTGAATAGAGAACACAGACACAATCTTTTCTGCAATTTTCTGCATCACTAGTTCATCTCTGATATATATATATATATATATAATCTTTGGTTGTATTAATTTTGATTATTTGATGGGAAAAAACAGACGGTAAGGTGGTGACATGTAAGGAGAAAATTGAAGCCATTGATGAAGAGAACAAATCCCTGAACGTGGACTTCTCAGGAGGAGACATTAAGGATCAGTACAAGAGTTTTAAGTTCGTAATAAAAGCCACAGACAAGGAAGGAGGGGGTGCTGTTGCAAAGTGGAGCTTCTCTTATGAGAAGATCCATGAAGGAATCCCAGAGCCAAAAGGCCACGTGGACTTTGTCACCATCGTTACGAAAGATGTCGATGCTTATCTTCTCAGTTCACAGCAGGGAAAATGATGAATTCGAGCAAACCAGAAATCCCAAGTACGAGAATGACGTCGTAAACTAAAGAATTAAAGTTGTGTGTGCTGTGTTGAGTTCATGGGTTGCGTGATGAACTAAAGAATAAAATCTGTGCTGTTAAGTAATTAATGCAGTGTGTAATCATCTGTATTATAAGGGTTGGTCTTTGATGAATATGTCGTGATGTATTAAATCTTCATCTTCTTTTTATTAGCAGTAACTAATACTACAAAAGATGTTGGTGCTCGTCTTCTCGATCGGTTCCTTTGTCTTTTAATTTGATTATTTATTTAATCACGCTAAATTGCATATTGCATCCAGCATCCAGCATCCAGCTCCCTAAATTGCATCCAGCATCCAGCCCCTAAATTGCTAACTGTAAAAGTGCACTAATAAAATCTGTTTTGTTGAGCTAATGCAGTGGATGTGTAATCATCTGTATATGTTCTTATATTACTACTTTTAGTCATTAACATAATAGCTCGTTTGACTTTTATTTTAACCATAAATATAAGACCCAATCCATTTTATCTTTCATATTTATTTATTTTCTTAAAGTAGTCCTTTTAATAATGGTAGTTCTAGCCAATATACTCGGTTGGCAATGATATTTTAGGAAAGACAACATCTATTTATTATAAATATTAACTTAATTAATTTCTTTAATCTACTTAAATTAGTCACCTAACTCTTACATTAAGGACCGGAAGTAGTATTATTGTGTGTGTTTAAATATCTCATGCAGATAGTAAGGCAGTAATTGAGGAACAAGTCAATAACAATCGACTTCTTCGGAGATGATGTTACGGAGCTTTTTTGCCATATGCTTTTATGTTATGAATCTGAAGGATATTCAGTGATATGAACATATTCTGATGCATAGATAAAATGTCCCGAAGGTGATGATGAGGAAAGAAACTGAATATTCATTAATTAGGAGTTCTTTTGCAAATGGCTCCTCGACATGTTCCATTCCAAGAGTGAAAGAAGCGTTGAAGCTAATTTCACAGTTTGCCAATGCAAGACTCAGATTTACATATGCATGGATTGATTATTCTGTATGTTCTGCTATTCTGAGTTGTACGTTTAGTTTTTCCTAATCTTCACCGTATCAACCTAAGCCTTAATTCTCATGAAAATAGTAATTAATAATTGTTCTCTCCCCAGTCCTAAATATAGTAACTAAATGAATAATTTATTGATATTAAGAAAATCAGTTTTTTTTTTTTTTATTTTGATAGGCTGGAACAACAAACAAAGATTACGCTACAACGTGATGGCGTAAAATGGCAGCAATGGATTCTCTGCTCAGGATTTGCAGGCCCAAGGCTCCGTTGAGGGCAGGTTTGGCGAGGCAGTCTGCTGTGTTGTTTTCATTTCTGCTTATCACTTGGAAGTCAATTTGCCAATTCCACTGCATTATTTCCTGGACTTCATGGATGCTTTGCCAATCTTCATGAAGGCTGTTATCATTCTTCTTAAAAGTCTCGATAACTTCCGAAGAGTCGCACCGTAAGATCACTTTCTGATAGCCCGAGTCCCATGCATGCCTCATACCCAACAAGCAAGCCCAGATTTCAGCTGTAACATGGTCGCCTTTGTCCAATTTCATCATGAACCCCTTTCGAACTCCTATATTGTCTGCTTGATGATGCCACCACAGGCCACGCTATGCGTGAGGGCCGAGAATGCACCATCTACTTCCACCACACAAGCATCCTGAGGCATATCCTGGGTGGGTCTCGTTGAGTTTTGTTGAGGAGCATTCATTCTAACCCCTTGGAGTTTCTTGGCTGAGCTCATCATGCATTTTAAAATTGCATCAGCTCTCTTTGGAACGGAATGGAGGTTGGCGTTTATATTCGAGTGAATCAAGTCATTCTTTGCTTTCCACATTAGCCAACAAATAGTAATGAACAAAGATTGCCAGTCACCATCCACCATACCCTAGTCGTTTTGCATGTTGAACAAGAGCCATCGTTGTATACCATAAGAGAAGAAACGTGATACATGCTGGGGTTTGAGGATATTGACCCAAAATTGAGTCACGGTTGGGCAGTCCCTGAAGGCACGCAGTTCGGACTCCACTTCAGTTTTGCATCTATCACACAGTCCAGAAGTGTGCAATCCTCTTCTAAATTTGCGATTGTGAGGATGCGTTTGTGGAAGAGCAACCAGGCGAAGGTCTTGCAACGTTGAGGAATTTTTTATTTCCAAATTTTGTTCCAGTTTCTATTAGGTTCCTCGCATTGTGGGCTCAACGCTTTATAGGCTGATTTTGTAGTGAATGACCCACTCTTCTCCCATTTCCATCTCACTACCTCATTACCAAGGTTATCCTTGGTTTCTTGAATACTATCCTTGACGTGTTCCCAGTTGTTTTTGATGCCTCTCCAAGTATTAGAACCAGGCCTTTTCAAGTTGATTTGTGGTATGAGGTCAGTGCCACATCCATATTTGCTTTGAATAACTTTCACCCAAAGGGAATCTCTTTTATTAACGAGTCCCCAACCTAGCTTTATCATGAAGGCTCTATTTTGTTGTTTAATTTGTCTCATGCCTAAGCCTCCATTTCTTTTCTCTGTACAAACTTAGCTTGGTCCCAGGAGACTAGATGCATTCTTTGTTTCTCCTTTGACGAGCCCCAAAGGAAGTCACACGCCTTCTTTTCTAGCTGATTATACGTGCCATCAGGAAAATATGCTGTTTGCATGGCATGATTGGGCATTATGTTGATAACAGACTTCATTAGTGTATCTCGGCCAGTGAAAGAGAGGCTGTTAATCTTCCAACTGCTAAGTTGACTCCTGACATTTTCAATGATATATTTATAAGTTTCATTAGACACCCGATCATGGTAGAGGGGAACTCCCAAAGATTTTCCAAGATCCGCTATTTGGTTGTACCCAAGCTCCTCACTAAGTTGAGTAGCTCTATTATGGTTGACACTCTAGGAGAAGAAAATCTTGGTTTTTCCATGGTTAACTTTTTGTCCTGAGGCCTCGTAGAACAGGTCTAAACATCTTCTAATCACATCAACCTATGCTAAGCTAACTTTTGCAAATCAACCTGTTCTAAGCTAGCTTCTGCAAAAATCAACAGATCATCAACAAAAAACAAATGAGAGATAGGGGACCAGATTTACCAAGTTTGATCGGCTTTCATTTCCCTATATTCATTTCATTTTGGATGATGTGTGCAAGTTTCTCCATACAAATTACAAAATAAGTAAGGTGAGAGTGGGTCTCCTACCTGAGACCTCTTAAAGGCTTGAATTTACCGGCTTTGTCTCCTTCCTAAATAATTTGCATCGACGGAGTCATTATGCAAGAAGAAATAACCTTTATGAGGGCCTCCGGTATTCCCAATTCCATAAGTCATAGTAAAACAAATTTCCACTTTATCTGATCATAGGCTTTTTATAAATCAATTTTAATGGCCATGAAACCTCTCTTTCCTTTCATATTCCACATCAAGTGTATGACCTCCTGAGCAACTTAATATTATATGAGCTGGTACGCCCTGGGATGAAGCTACATTGGTTATGAGAGATAATATCAGGAAGGAAACTCTTCTTCCTGTTCACCACAACTTTAGAAATAATTTGGTAGATAACATTACATAAGCTTATGGGTCTAAAATCTCTAATCATTTCAAGATGGTCCTTCTTAGGAATCAAAACAATAAAAGTATGGTTGATAGAATCAATAAGCGAAGGGTCAATAAATGTTTGTTTGACCATAGTGACAACTGAATCGCCAACTAGCTCCCATTGGCTTTGATAAAAACAAAAAAGGGCATTAAGCCCGTCTAGGCTCGGAGACTTTAGAGCCCCCACAGCAAATAGGGTCGCTTTGATCTCTTCATTGCAAATATCTTTCTTGAGACACTCAAGCTGCACAATACTAAGAGTAGGGTAAGAGATATTACCAAAGTGGGCTATATTGTCGCAACCATCGTCCTTGAAAAAGACTTTCAAAGAAGCTTGTAGCACTTTGTTTGATGGTACTTGTATCTTCAGTCCACTCTCCATTCTCCTACTGGATCACTTTTATTTTGTTTCTTCTTCTTCATCCATTAGCTCAACTGTGAAAGAACTTGGAATTCTTGTCTCCAAGAGTATACCACTCACATTTGGCTTTTTGCGCGAACAATAGATCCTCTTGGAGAATAATCTCCTCCAATTCAAGCCACAATTGTTGTTGGAGTTGCTCAAGAGAGGAGGTGCTACTTGAAGAGGATATGGTTCGTGTAATCCCTTCCAATCTCCCAAACAAGATGCTCTTCTTATGTCCTAAGTGGCCATAAGTGTGTTACTCCAATTAATGAGATCATTGGTCAACCTATTAGTATTGTCAACCCAATCATCCTTGAAGGCCCATTTATCCTTTACAAGCCTGCTAAAGTCATCATGAAGCACCCAGGGAGTATTAAAACGAAAAGGACGTGTAATAGAAGAATAGGAAGTCATACTTGGCCTTAACTAAAGAAGCAGAGGGCGGTGGTCAGACTTGAACCAAGGGAGGTGTTTTACCACCGCATCTAGGAATGTAGAGCGAGCTTTGGCATTGAACAAAACCTGATCGATTTTGCTTTCACATCCTTCTCCTTTCCAAGTGAAGAACGAGCCAACACAACCCATATTTGATAGCTCCATATCCTCTACCCAGTTATAGAAGTCTCGGTCAGCAGGAGTCGTTCTCATGGTAGAGGAGAGTCGTTTATTAGAGTAGAGGGTAGCATTGAAGCCCCCCATGAACCATGGCCACTCATTACCAGGATTGATTCTCTCAAGATGGGGCCAGAAAGAGCGACGGACAAAAGGATTAGGGCAAGTGTAAACAACGGTAATAAATAATTTATCGTTACCTCTTTTGACCATGGTATGAATAAACTACTCGTTAGTTTCCACAATAGATATAGTAATATCGTCATTTTTCCAGGAGACCCAGATGCCTCCCTGAAATCCTCTTGCATCAACCACTTCACAGAATTTAAACCTTAGCTTCTTGCTAATATCTCATGCTTTCTCCCCACTAGTTCTTGTTTCAAAAAGAGCGTAAAAATCAATTTTATACTGTTTCTTGAGTCCGGGAAAAGACTTGGACCCAGCACCCTTACAGCTCCAAAGGATGTAATTTATGTGGAGCACCCACTATGGAGGTATTCTTGCTTATAGGTGTTAACTCCAAGAAATTCACATCTTTTTATCACATTTTCCTCCTTAATTTCTTGTTTTAAGAGTCAAATTGTGC